TGTTTAAACAGATGAGTTTTCAACAGAGACTTAAACTCAAATGAGTTTAAGTTTTACTCAAAAAGAGACCCAGCAGACCTCACAGACAGTGGGAGGTTGTTCCAGAGCCGAGGTCCTGCAACTGAAAAGGCTCTGTCTCCCCTGGTCACAAGCCGAGACCTGGGAACAACTAAAAGCTTTTGATTTACAGATCTCAGGGATCTATTTGGAATGTGAGGCTGTAAAAGCTCAGTGAGATAATGAGGTGCCAAGCCATTTAGACATTTAAAAACTAAAAACTAAATCTCAAAAACAATTCTAAAAGAAACAGGCAACCAGTGAAGAGAATACAAAATCGGAGTGATGTGTTCGCGACGTCTTGTCCCTGTTAATAAACGGGCAGCTGAGTTCTGAACCAGCTGTAGACGACGAACCATCCCACAATAAAGAGAGTTGCAGTAGTCCAGTCTAGAAGTGATAAAAGCATGAATAACCCTCTCAAGTGCATTATGAGGCAGGTAATCCTTGACTTTACTTATAAGTCTCAAATGATAAAAGCTAGACTGGACTACTGCACTGACCTGTTCTTTAAATTTAAAATCAGAATCCAAAAACACCCAAAGATTTCTAACAGACACACGGCCAGGCAAAGGGTCCAGTGGTCCAACAGCACTACTGCATCCTGTCAGTTTATCAGAGCTACCRAATAAAATGACCTCTGTCTTTTTATCATTAAGATAAAGAAAGTTCAGGTCCATCCATGCGCTCACATCTTTTAAGCATTCAAGTAGCCTATTTACAGACTGGGATCTGCTAGATTTTAATGGAAGATAGACCTGAATGTCATCGGCATAAAAATGGTATGACACGTTATATTAGCGAAAAATAGATCCCAGGGGGAGCAAGTACAATGAAAATAAAATTGGCCCTAATATGGAGCCTTGAGGTACTCCATACTGAAGGTGAGCAACAGATGAAAAAGCTGTCCCAACTGGACCGAGAAGCTTCTGTTAGACAAGTAGGATCTAAACCATTTTAAAACTGTACCTTTCATACCAACAGAAGTCTCCAGCCTTGATATTAAAATGTCMYGATCTACTGTATCAAATGCAGCAGTAAGATCAAGAAGAATTAAAACAGTAGAATCAACAGAGTCAGCAGTTAAAAATAAATCATTGAGGATAACATGTAAACTCCACATGGAGGGCCCCAGTTAAGAATGAGTATCAAACCCAGGACCTTCTTGCTGTGAGGCGTCGGTGCTAACCACTAAACCGTCATGCTGTCAGATGTATCATATGCCATACCCAAAGTTTCTCCATTTTCCAAGAGAATGTATTTACCTGGTGCACTATTTTTTTATTTTTTCAATTTATGTCGGTCATAAAACAAAACAGCCTATATACAGCAAAATATAAAAAATCTAATACACTATGATTTGGCAAAAAAAAAGGTTACAATACATGTTTCAACAAACATAGCCAAAATGTGACAAGAGCTGACTAAAACCCTCCATGTTATATTTAACAGTTTTGTTTAAACATTCATATATGACATTATAAATGTTGAAATCAGGTCAAAGTTTCCTAAAGACAACAAGAGAGTTGCAGCTGTGTACGTAACCAATTAATTTCTATTGTGTTAGAGCAAATTATGTCAATTGAGGGGGATATTGACTGGATCAACCTTGCCCACCCCCAAATTACATCCATTCAGTTACATATAGTGAAAGGCTGAAAGATAAAAGTTATATAAATATTCCAGCTGAACATAAAGAAATAAAACTGTGTAATAATAATAATAATACAGTCTGAGTCCAAGTTTTCCTGAAGGTTTT